ACCCTAATCAAGGGCATAATGCACGTACATGTCAACTATGGTAACTTATATATGGAGGCATGTGAATGTACAATATTGATCTCACTCTCCATGTGGAGAGAGAATGCCCTATGCAACTAGATTTGGTGTAACTCAAAAGTCTTTTGCTAAGGCAATATGGTTTATAGAAGAGTTGCAAGTGTCACCATATGAGTCATTATAAATTTAGTGTGACATATGATTGAGCTATTAGGGCTGACATAATTACCATGACTCTCTACTCTTTCAGGACATTATATGATAGAAGGATTCTACTACATTCAAGCTATTAGGGTAGTCATGACATACTGCTAAGTATCACTGGAACCTCTGTAAATAATAGTCTACTATTCACATTCAAGGGAGAATTAAGAGTTTTTTTTAATTCAATTCAACTAGAAGGAGTTCTATTTGGGATGTTGAAGCACAAGATTCTAGTTGCAATGTTGTTGTTGGATGTAATAATCAGACCATGCTCTCCAGGCTCACTAAATAGACTATTAGATGATGACACAATGAATCAATGATGACATTTTCCACCACAAGTTCCCTTCTCAAGAGGTAAACCCATTGCATTCATAGGAGAATCAATATTGGTGATAAACTCAATTGCCACTATTGGAAATGTAGTTTCAAAAATTTGGAAGCATTTCCTTTAAAATGTTATTTTCCCCCACTCAAGTGACTAAGTTCGTTGGTAGATTCCAAGAAAGTCCATTCCCAAGATACAAAAGAGCCTTGGATGAGAAACTACTTAAAGAATCTCCAAAGAAACTTTTTTGTGAGAGAGTAGCAACTTATATTGAGAGAGACAAAGTATTCTATGTTGTAAACTTGTGTAGAAAATAACATGACYTACACCCTGAAAAGAAACGTATTTGTTTGAAGAGGTTGTTTGTACAACCACATTTTTAAATTATGTGACTATTCAAAATTAATTAATAGTTAATGAGTAATGGCCATTAATTATCAGATGATGTCCCTTGATCACAAGTAATCAATTCATGAATGTTGGCATTAAATTAAAATGTCAATAGTCCTATTTTGGCATCCCAAAGTGTTTCGTTTCACTTTTGTGCTCGTGTGATTCACAACCCAGGTCAAATGTGATTTGTGATTTGCAAATAACGACTCACAATTTATGATTTCCATATTGTGATGGAAATCTCACTTGCAATGAGGGTTTTGTAATTTGCGATATCTTGCTTGTGATGGTCATCTCATCTCGTCTCGCCTCATCACATCTCATTTCATCTTGTCTCATCTCATTTTATTTCATCTTATCTCATATCATCTCATCTCACTTGTGACCGGTGCATCTTCATATCATCTAATAATATATAGTTCCCTTAAGCAAGATGAGCAAAGTGCACTTAAGTACTTCATTGTGCCACATACATGTGTGTGCATGTGAACACAATAGCAATTCTCTATATTCTCCTCTTTATACTTCTAAGGGGTGCAAGTAAGATCTTACTTAAAACCCAAAACAATTTTTATAATTTTTCTTTATAGAAAAAGACATAAAAGAGAAAATAAGACAAAACAAGAATTTTAGTGGGAATTTTGAAACCACTTCAAAGTGCATGTGTTAAGTGTGTTCAACCATGTAATTAATCTATCAAACACCCATGGAATTTAATCTATAAAGAGATTAAAATCCACCATCCCAACAATTCAAAATTTGCATTTTATTAGAGAAAACGATATTTCTCAATAGCATTGCCATGAAATCCCACCTTCTTGATCCCATTAAGATACACTTAATCAGCTCAATTTTTAGATCTAAACCACCTTCGTGCATATTCAACTTAAAAAGCAATACAGTAACTAACGGTCACCAAAATAAGCAATAAAATAAATAAAATCCATATATAAATCACAAATTAAACTATTCATGGCTTTCAAAAAAAAATCTAAACTATTCAAAATAGTGATTCCCCCAAATTATATTCAAACAACACAACTTTTTCCAACAACCAGCAGTGATGAAGAAAACGGAGAGGGAAGAAGGGGGGAGGAAGAGATTTATAACTCCAAGAACTTCTAGAACTCAATTGAAACTAAAAAAAGGCCAAGAAAAGGCCTCCATTATTTCAACTTCAGAGAGAAATGGGAGAAGGCGAGAGAACAAGGAGAAGTTTCTCTAGAAGAGCAAACAACAATAAATTGTGGTCAAATCCCATTCAGATCTCAGCTAGGAAGGAGTGTTTAGCTTCATTTTTTTCATTATTTTATTTATTCATTTTCCTTATTTTTCTTTCTTTCCTTCCCTTCTTATTTTCTCTCTTTCCTTTCTTCTATTCTGTATCAATTTATTTTTCTTTATTCATTCTTCTTCCACTGCATCCGCAAGTGAGACTCTACAACCACATGTCGACCAATTTAAACCATTTGAGTTTCAAATAGCATTCCAAAAAGGAGTTTTACTTCTTTGGACACCCCTTTCTCAATCTCTATTTCAATGCCTGTGATTTTAGTTCAAGCATCAATGGCACGAGTTTGAATATAGAGGGTTTTGTTTGAAATTTTAATGAAACATTTAAGGACATCTTTTCCTTTTATGTTTTATTTCTTACATTTACCGTTGAGAAGGTCAAGGTATACATGAGTAACTTTTGAAACTATAGGGCATATACAAATAGTTTCCTCAACACCCCCCCATCTATTATATTCAACCTCCCCTTCAATATCTCCTTTGTAAGGCATTTTTCTGGTTGGGATCTCCTACCCACGCTCACTGTAGCTGTACATTAGGAACATCTCCCCATTTGTCCCTGGTGTATAGCTATAGTGTCATGTGGGGTAGGTGTGCGTAGGATTCTTGTGTGTAGGAGATTTGAATTGCACTTTTTTAGGATTGCCATCCATGTGAAGAACTTTACTTTTGGGCCCCTTTTGTTTACAAATTTGTCACTTACTTGGGTAAATGCACTTACCCAATTAAATGTTTCCTAAGTAACACTTTCCCGGATAAGTTCATTTACTCATATTCTTTTGATTCCCCAKATAAGTAATATAATGACTTTTTTACCCAAAAAARAACCAATATTAAAATGRACAAACTTGTTCCATTATGCTTTATAAATTTTTTCCCTAAGTGGGAAAGTTACTTACCCACATGAGAGATAGGTAAGTTTTACTCATGTAAATGGAATTGGCTTTACTATGGGGCCTAGTACTTAATTACTTGTTGCAAAAAGAACAATGGAAAATTGGTCAATGGAAAAGAGATACCCATTGACCAACTTTCCCCCTCTTATTTACCCGTAAATGAACATGGCCTTGATGGAGTAACAACTTTTCATACAACTTTGCTTGAGAAGTTTTATTGGTTTACCAACTAGACCCTTGATGATTCAACCGAAAATTCCCTTGATTGTCCATTTCAACACCTTAAATGTTGATACTGCAAATTTAGGTGATATTTTGGAGTAGACCTGTTCATGGGTCAGATAGCCCGATGGCTCGACCCGGCCCGCACCCCCGTCGGGCTTGGTCATGTAATTAGGCCCGCGGGCCTGACCTCGAGCCTAACACAGTAAGTCCGACTGTGTTTCGGGCCGGGCTCGGGATTTGTCAAAAAAGCCCAGCCCGACTCGACATTATATATTTTATAAAATATATAATATGCATTTTATATATTATATAAAATATATAAATAATATAATATTTATTAAAATGAATATTTATAATTTAATATATATATTTTTTTTTATTTCTTTTCTTTATAATCTCTCTCTCTCTCTCTCTCTATTCAGTCACTTCATTAGTAGTAATAGTAGCAGTATGGACTAATATTCGGGCTCGAGCCCAAGTTGTAAGCCCGATGGTCGGGCCAGGTTCGGGCTCGGGCCTTAAAAAAATCTGTTAATACAGAGTGAAAGCCCGGCCCGAGCCCGGCCCATGAACAAGTCTATTTTGGAGTATGGCAAGGAGTTCGGCCACTTTGAACAAGAGTGGAAACACTTCTTTAAGGYTGTGTTTGGTTTGAAGGAAAAGGTAGGGGGAAAACTTTACAAACTTTGTATAGGTTCCCCTTTCTTTCCCTACCTTTTCCTTCAAACCAAACATTGCCTAAATGATCTTTCTGGTTTAAATATATGCATTCATTTGGTGATTTGATATCATGTTTCATATATCATTTGGGGAAGAGTAAATACATTTATGCAAAATGCAAATACAATATAAGGTTTATAAATACCATATACAATACAAATACAGGGTTCTGCATGGTACATATTTTGTATTTGTATTCCTTTAAACTAAGCCTTGTATTCTGTATTTCTAACCCTATATGTGTGTTGTACATATTTGTATTTGCACTTCTTTCAAAGTGTGCCTAAGGCTTTGGAAGGAGTATAAATACAATTATGTACTGTACAAATAAATTCAAAATAATACAAAATACAAGATTTTGCACTCTACATATTTGTATTTGTACCCTTTCCAAACTAAGCCTAAGAAATAATCTATGATGCCAGAAATACAGGATACCGAAAAGACTTTGACCAATCAACCCCCCCGGGTGAATCTTGATGAAAACCATAAATTATAGTTGAACCCATGTTTTAAATATATAGATTTGATGTTTTTGAAAACATGAACTTCCTTTTTTTTTGTTTTTTAAAAAAAATTGCTTCTTAAAACAAAAAGTGGCTTCCTCGGTGCCCATTTAGGATGGCTTCCACGCAATGGCTTTTGGTGGTGCAAGGTGGGCGCAACATGAAAAGCCTATGTTTGGTGAAAAGCCCAGAAAAGTGGCTCAGTCAATAACCGAATCAATGTTGAAGCTCTTCCAAATGGGCTCTGACTATGTTTGGAATCATGATTCCTCGTCGTTAAGTCATTACATATAAAAGAGAATGGTTCCAAATCTTCACTTTACCCACCTCACAAATTTTTATTTGTTTCCTGATTTTATTTGTTTTAAAACTATTTAAAATTATTTTCATCAGCATCTGCATATTTGGATGCACCCATACGGATATCTATATTTTGATCATTGCCAGATAAAAACACTAGAGAATGAACACCATTAAGCATGCCGTCTGACGTCTACCCTTAAAACTAGTTCAGGGATCAGATTACGATAAAGAGGCCTCCTCTGGAATTGTTTCACATGCACTGGATCCTTGCTTGAAGCATTCTTTTTTCAACCCCTCCCAAGGGAAAAGAGACCTACCCGTTCTGGGTAAATCGTCCTATCAAAGTTTTCCTGTAAATACAGTTCACAACTCCATAGATTCTGTTGTCTGATTTATTTCTTCTCCTACTTGTCTCAATACATTTAAGCACCAGATCTCTWATCCAAGGTTCACAAGTATTGCAATGTATGTAAGAAATCAGGAATCAACAAGGTTGTGGTCTCTCAGAAAATGCGGGTGTACCATGTGTAAATATAACATGCACTGAGCACATTGTATTCTCAGAACAATTTCCTTCTCCTGCATTAAGTTCAAGAATAGATGAAGTGAAAAGTATTTCTATTTCCAAATTCCTAAACATGCCACAATAAATTTCTGGAATGTTGAAGAGTGAAGAGACCTACCACGAGAAGAACCAGAAAAAACAGAAGGTTCTTTTGCTTATTTCTTTCTTTTAGTTTTCTTTCAAAATTTTGTGGTCTTATAAAACTTTTGAGCTCTAAAAGATTAGAGAGGATAAAGTGGATGGTTATGCAACAATTGACAGGCCTTCCTTTTTGGGAGGAATCACCACCTTCTTGTTTCCAGGGAAGACATTACGGGAAATGTCTACTAGGGCCTTGAAGCTATATGGCTCATGCATTGACAGTTCTGACAGTACCTTCCTATTCAGTTGGATGTTCTCCTTCATCAGCCCATGCATGAAGTTACCATAATTTACCTAACAGCAGACAGTAACAGAGGGAAGATGAAAAGATATAAATCACAAACTATAGCAGACTTGCACATCAAACATTCTTGAAACTTAAAATGACAACCCAAAAAATCACTTGAGAGTACACACAGATACTGCTTGAGCCAATCACAAATGGGGTATTCTTTTTTTTCTCTTCTTTTTATTTTTTGTGTGGCATGGAGAACCATTAGTATGCAATGAAGGATAGAAACATTACCTTTACCATTGATTACAACTAGGTTTATGACTTGCATAACTGTATTGCGTAGGTATTAGTAAATAGAGGTAAAACCTCAAAGAAAAGAGTGTTTAACCAAATCAAGCATACATGCTATTCTCTAAGGGCTACCTCATTCCAAATCTTTGTTTGATGAGTGAAGTCCTCGAAGATATTAGCAAATACCTTGAACATCTAGAATATGTCCCACAAAGAAATCTACCCCGATAGAAAAGGAAAAAAAAAAAAAAAAAGAATTGAGAATCTAGCTGACTGCATTGCCAACCTTGGGCATAATAATGAAATTCCTACTGTTTGTCCTGTAATTGAAAGGGTYATGCTAGAGGGTCTGTGGGGTTACTCCATCCCTCGGCTGTGTTAGAGCTTGTTTCCATTGTACCCAAAAAAAAAAGAGAGAATCACCATAGTTTTTTTGAGAATCCTCCAAAAGAATATGATATGGACCTTAGGCTCAGTTTGGAAAGAGTATAAAAACAAATATGTAGTGCAAAACCTTGTATTTTGTGTTATTTTGTATGTATTTGCACTGTACATATTTGTAGTTGTGCCCTTTCCAAACTGAGCCTTAGCATCATTTCATTTTCCAAGTAAATCATTATTATTCAACAAGCATACAGAAATCTATGTTGGCAATTGGCATGCACCTCGCCTAGGCCCAGGCATAGCCCCTTTCAAAAGGTGTGCACCTGGTGCGCTTTGGGCATCAACCCCAAACAAGTCCATGTTAGGACCTTCATATTACCCAACACTTTTTAGCAATTTAAAGCTAGTTCAACAGATAGAGCAAGTTGAAGAAGTCCAAGATGTGGAGGTACTGGTTAAGTAGACAAGGTGCATATTCAAAATGTGATGACTTGTGTAGAGGGTAAGAACTCAGATATGCAACTTGAAGATTTTTTTTTCACATCTCCCAAATATAACACCTCTACATAAAATCTAGTTCTCATTGATAAAGTCTCCATTCATCTATACTAAAACCTAGACTTAGTTTGCAAAAATGGATTCTTTAAAATGTGAACATATACTAAGTTTTTATAAACATAAACAAGTAGGGAAAAACTACAATGCGGAAAAGATATGGTATAGGAAGAGTTTTCACCAATCAAAACCCACCCATGAATTTTGATAAATAACACCTGATTGGCCACCACGTTTATGATTCCAGTTGACTGGTCAGAAGTTTTTCAGATATCATATCTTTTCCATATCTTAGTCATACCCAAACAAGTATGCCCATGGAATTGATGGCTCCAAATGAACTTCAAAAAATAGAGGATGCATCAATAAAGGCTTTGAGTCAACTTACCCCATGCAAGCGGGTGCCGGCATTGATCCTTTCAATCCAGAGGGAGCGCATGTCCCTCTTCTTATTGCGACGGTCCCTGTACGAGTACTGCAAGGCCTTCTCCACTCTCTCCCTTGCTATTCGAATACAATTCTTGGCTCTTCCTCTAAACCCTTTTGCAAGCTTGAATATCTTGTCCTTGTTCATCGCTCTCCTCTATCTTTTGTTATTCTCCCTCACTCTCTCTGCTTCTCAATTAAATACAATATAATGAGAGTACGAGACTTAGACTGAACACAATCCATATCGCTGCTGGCCCATAAGTCAAATGGTCCAACCACTAAGACAACCCAGTGAATCATGATTTCATAAATAAATAATATTATAGTTCAAAAATCCAGAAAAGTATGAATAGTTCCTGAAAATTACAGAAAAGATAGGAAGACTATGTAAAAGTAACATGCCTCTGCCTATGGAGAATGTGTGATCAGTTCGCAGAGGCTTTCTTCTTTGTGTTCCTTTTGGTTTATGAATGAACTTTGCTTACAAAAAAAAATGCCTAATAGTTCATTATATAATAACAACAAACCTAAAAGTTTCATCAGAACTGAGTGAGGTCTATAATTTCTTATTCTTAAATTTTCATCCAAAATTGTAAACAATTTCCTCATGAATAGGATAATACAAGAACCCATAAATTAGACAGTCATAGAAGATACATGATATCATCACTGGAAGTTGAACCTCAAAAGAAGCCATTTTCCGTTACTTGAAAGAAGAATTAGAAATGAAATCAGTACTTGAACCTCATTTCCATAATCAGAATGGCGAAATCATGTGGAATTTATAGACAACAATCAAAATAACTGCCTCATTTCTATCATCTAGTGTCTAAAAATACTACAAATCATATAATATGACAATTGACAACAATCGAATAAGAGAAGAAAAACAATGCAAAAAATTTTAATGCCTTAAACCTGCCCTGGAATTTTGACAATGCCTTGAACCTCCCCAACCTCCTCTGTACTTTGACCCAACCCAAAAAACTCCCCTGATTTTTGGGGGTTAAATGGACTTCTAAACCCTTTCCCTCACTTTTAAGGGGAGATAGAGAGAGAGAGTTAAACTAACCGTTCTGCCCCTATTAAAATCTATATCTTTTGTACATCAATTTCAGTCGTCATCCTCCAAATCAATGTTATTAACAGGGCTTTTTACATGTAGAGGAAGCCGAATTGCAATGGAACACTACAAAATCACATCGTGGCGATACTGACTGCAGCAACAGCCGTGCCGTGCCTTCTTGGCCCACCACTGCTCCTTCCTTCTCCACCAGCGCCCCTGCCACAATCTTCTCATAACCGCCACCGCCGGCCGCCACATACACCACCAGCGCTGCCTGAACTGGCCCCAGGCTTGGATTATACGCTGCCGATTCCGCATACGACCCTTTGTAGATCTTCCCTTCCATGTCCATAAGGGCCACCCCAGATGGACATCCACTGTACGGCGCGTGGGATTTGTTCGCCGCTTCGAGTGCGGCATACTTTAGCTTGTTATAATCCGCTACAACGCTGTCGTTACTGTAGCACCGATTGGCCTCACCATTAATCTCGTCGTGGTCGTCACTGAAAGTCAGGCCGTTGTGATGGGGCTCTAAAAGCAACGGCACATCCTTGTTCAGCAGATCGTCGGGTCCGAATCTCTGGGGCAGGAAATGGGACATCGGCCGAAACGCGACGTCTTCCCGGTTGTCTCCCTCGTTTTCCGTCGACGTGACAAGGATGTTGATGTCGGAGGCTCCACGTATTTCTTGCATGAATTGACGGCAGTGGCCGCACGGGGCCGATGAGACGGCGATGTATCGGAGCCGGGTGCTGCCGTGGATGGCTGCGTTAGTTATCAGGAATTGCTCGGCGTGAACGGAGTGGTGGAGAGGGAGCCCAGGGAATTCGAGGTTCACTCCCAAGAAGACTCGACCGTCGGATCCTAATCCGACTGCTCCGACATGGTATTTGGAGATGGGGGGCCTCGCTAGGTCTTGTGTGGATTTGACCAACGACGTAAGGAGTTGCAGCAGTGAGAGCCCTGATTCTTTCGCCATTGATTCGACATCGGCCGATTCGATGACGAATCGGGCTTGTTCCATTTTGATGGAAGATTAAACAAGAGGAACGTCGATTCTGGATTAGGGATTACTGTATTGGCAGTGTGAGGACCGAGCGAGCGAGCGAGAGAGAGAGAGAGTCGCGGCGATGCTCGTCTCCTCACGATTCTCATCCATGGCCAAATTTGGCATTTTATCGTCAGCAATTTCGGTTCGGTTAGGTTTGCTAACGTCACAGTAACGGAACGGGTCTATAAGCCTATTTACCCCCAAGAGTTAAAGTCAGGGGAGTCCTCAAAGTTCAGGGAGGCTTCAGATATTGTCAGAAACCCAGGGAAGGTTTCAGGCATTTACCACATTCTAGTTTTAACGTTTAGATGCAGAAGAAAAAAGGAAATAACAGGGTTTCATGAGAAAGCAGAGCTTTCAGACTTGAAATTGAAGAAATATCAAATCTGGAATTTATCTCCTCCCTCTCACTATCTTATTGACAAATTTCTCTTCCATAAAATAAATTGAGGCTCACCTGCAAGTCTGCACCGTGCAACTAACTTCAAAATCTCACCAGGATGTTAATAAAATTGACCGACTCAAGCTTCAAAACTCAAGCCTCAAAGTTTCTTTCAGCTTCTTAAGCTTCAAGCTCAAGGATCAGGGTTTAGGCGCTTGCCTTCTGCTTCGATTTCGACTTGAAATTCCAGAGTTCAGAATAGAAATTAAAAAGATTCTAGGTCTCCCTTCTTTCTCCTTTAAACCTCAATACCTCATGACTCGCGTTCTCTCAGCCTCTCGAAACTCTGTAACTTGATCGATTCCCTTCAATCTAAGATATCGAAGCTCGCTCACTCGCTCAGTAATTCTGGTTTCTCCATTCTCCGACAACGACGGAGAGTTAGGGTTTTTTCCCCTTTTGTGTTTAAATCTTTGGACTCTGAATTGGGGCTGGGCCCGTTATGCTCAGGCCCAATAAGTATAGATCTAACGGATCAGGGTCGGGCATGTCGGGTACCCAACCCGGACAAACGAAAATCAATAAGGTATGAGAGTCCACACTGCATCAATTTATCATCGACGATCTCCACCTGTCGGCTGTCGATTCTTCCAAGTGTAGTGAGGCCAAAACAGATGAGTTCGGCATCTTAGCCTTGCATTGGTAATATCTCCCCATGAAATAAATCATAAAAGTATAAAGATGTTTTCGATGCGAGGCTAAAAAAAACTGTTCGAACAGTATTCGAACGGGCCTGACTGAAGCCGAACTCCTTCAGTTAGGCATGATTTGTATGAATATGGYTGCCCGTTGCATCTAGGCAATGCGCACGCACGCATAGAGAGGACACGCCACCTGTTCTCCGAATCGTGTGAGGGGTTGAAGCATGCAATAGCTTTCAATCCTGTTAGTTACTACTATTGTTAGTCTGGGTCCTCTGATCTTCTCTCTTTTCCTGTTGCAGATGAATTTCACACTCTCTCTCCATCCGCATGGTGGCAACTGTACAACCTTCACCGCCGGCGACAAACAATCATCACCGGCGGCGGGATCAACCTCAAGTATTGTATTTTTTGCATCTCTTTTAAAACAAAGACAAAAAAATCACCTACGGTGATGGTTGTGCTAAGATATCATCTGGTTGGAAAGCTCAATTAAAAGATATTACGAAATTAGGAATCTCAATTATCAAAAAAATAATAATAATATGCAATCAGGAAGGCTACTAGATTTAGCTGGTTCATTTGGGAGTAAAGAAGGAATCAATAAATGCATTTTATAGAAATCAATAATTCATGCAAGGGGCGGTGCCACCTTTTTTTATCAGTGAACATGATCTATTAATGGAACATAAACTTTTGCCTTCAGCAAAGAAGTGGCATACTTCCACATCGGTTTTTTTTGGACTGGCCATGCTTCATCATGAGATTCAACTGGAAATCACATTGTTTAATCAAAATGAGAAAGAATTATAAAAGATTCCTCTTGTGATCAAGGYTCTCCCACTCCTAGAGGTTCGAACACCTTGAAGAGAAGAGAAGAGAAGAAGGGTTAGGCGCAAGGAGGAGAAGAAGAAGGGCTGAAGGAGTTCAAGTCAAACTAGCAAGAAGAGAAGGTGAGTTCGAAATTTGGGGTTTTTTATTCAGAGATCTATTGTAATAATTCCATTCTAGTTTCATTTTCCTTTGATTCGAATTCAGCTTCCTTGTTGTAATTATTTTTTTCTTTCTCCCTCTTCCATTCTTTCTTGATGTAATTAAGTTTATAAAATTTCATATCAGCAATCAATTTCTTTTTTATTCATTCGAATGGGTGTGAATTGTTCTTTAAGTTTCTTGAATAGGGTTAATTGTAGATCAATTCAGCCAATTAAACTTTCAAAACTCATATCTGAATTATCAAATCTGAGATTGCAAGATCTGAATTGCTTGAAAGAGAATTCAGATCTGCAAATTTTCAGATTGGCCGAATTGATCTAAGCTTGGAATTCTTAGATTGCTTGAGAAAGACTCTAAGAATTCAGATCTACTATTCAAGAACTGAATTGGATGCAAGGTTAGAGATAACTTGCACAATTCAGTTGGTGATCAATTCAGATTTGAATTGATACCTTAGAAATGTTTGAAGAAATGCATGCATGGGATTAGATTATTGATAGACACTCATGCATAGGATGAACATGCACTTGAAAGAAGTTGTTCATGACCTTGGGGTTTCACCAAACCAAGGGTCAATCACAATCTATTCGAACGATTCAATTTGATTGATTGCTGAATTCTGAGATTAACATTATCTGCTTATTCTTCTAATCTGAATTGAAGGCAATTGGGCCAATAATTTAGATGGATTTTAGTTTATGATTTTTAGCTTTTGAATAAAGTTTTGATTTGTTGTTGATCAGATAAGAAGTAACCAATTTAGTATTAGTAATAGCTTCCCAAATCCTTGTAGGAACGATACTTCACTCACAACTTTATTACTTGAACGGCTAGTGCACTTGCTAATGCCACAATGATCCGGTCAAGCTCCTCCAAAAAGGCATTCTTATTACTTTTCCCCCCGTCCCGGCTTCAAGCTCCTTCACGAGCTACCCAACAGGATCCCGGCCTGGAAGCGGGGTTATTTTGTAGTTCGCAATCCCGAGGGGTGGCCCTTTCCGACTCACTGGAGGGCTGCCATCCAGGATCTGGGTATTGAGTTGGACCCGAAGATTCTGGAAACGTTGCAGTCCTAGGCAAGGGTCGGTTTTCTCTGTTCGGACTACTTAGATGAGGATAAGCTCGTACAGGCCGGTCTGAGCCCCGATAGGTTACCTTTAGGTCACCATTTTTTTTTGTGAGCTGGACTAATGCCTTGTAATTCTTACAGCCAACATGTCTGGTGTAGATGCACGTCGCCTGCTATCGAGCAACCAGAAACGTAGGGCGAAGAGGTCGCGCCCTGACCAAGCGTCCACCTCCGGGACTACGGAGTTCGAGGCTGCTGACCCAGCCTTTGTTCCGCCGCCAGAGGTCCCACCTATGCCGTTCGAGGGAGTAGCCGCAGGAGGCAGCGAAGAAGAAGAGGTCCCACCCCAGGGGCAGTACCCTCCCGCTGCACAGTCCGGTCCCATCGTCTTCCCGCACTGAGGGGGGGATGAAAGCGTCACCAACTTCCTCGTGGCCGCACGGAGGAGCCGGCAGGCGGCCAGCAATGAAGAGATCGTGAGCTGGGCCAGGATGCACCATAGGGAGCTCGCCAAGCTGGCCTCGGCTCATTGCATGGTGGTAAGTGCCTATTTCTTCCCATTTTCTCCCCCTCTTTTTTCTTTTTTTCTCCCACTTACCTCAGCTTTTTATTGGCAGTTGAACTCCGCTATCCACTTCCAGGACGCCGTCAACCAGAGGTCAAACGTGCAGAGCCTCCAACGCAAGCTCGACCGGGCTCGGGATGAGTTCCTCCAGGCTCAGAAGGGTAGTGAGGCCCAGGAGTTGCTCGTTAGGGACCAGGAAGCATGGATCTCCCGTCTGTCTGAGGAGAGTGCCCATTACAGGGAGGAGTCTTCGAGGGTGGCGGCGGAGAGGGAGCTTCTTCGCCAACAGGTCCAGAACTTGGAGTCCACGCTTCATGAGCGGACTCGTAACTTCGACGCCGCGTTGGAGGCAGAGCGGGCTAAGGCGGTGGAGGATTTTAGAGAGTCCCAGCAGTTCCACGACCTCCAGGTCGAATATGGCTCTAAGTCCTACCGCTCGGGGTTCAAGCTTTACCGGTGGCTGGTCCGGAAGAAGTTCTTCGGCCTTAACCTCGAGGGCGTAACAATGAGGGACCTAGCCCCAGAGACGGCGGACGTGGTGGAGGAGGAGGAGCCCGACTCCCTCGAGGAGAGTGACGGGGATGTAGAGGAGGTGGAGCCTTGAGGTTGGTTACTCTCTTTTTTCTTCTTCTGAAAAAATGATTCTCTTGAAGTGGTTGCTCCCAGGCGACTGAACCCGGTTCTCTTTCTTTTCTTTCTGCTTTGTTGATGTATTCCCGGGTTGTTAGGCCCGATTTCTGTTTTAGTAATGAAAATGTCCCCCCCTTTTTTTTGTTAAGTGTTGTGTTATTTACTCTTTTGTCGAAGTGACTGTTTCACCCGAACTGCTAGAGCTAAGCACTCGAAGTGAGGTTTCTCAACTATTGTTACCTCGAGATGTCTCCCCGTACTTAGTAGGGGTGATTTTATAATGTACACCGAGGTGATCAGCATAGTGAGCATATGCCCGACCTATATGTGCCTGGGTTACTTAGGTTGAAGTCGGTTGTCCCTAGCGGGTCCAACTTGTATATTGAAACGGGATAGGCATCATAGAATTCACACCCGAGCTGCCTGCACCTTTGGTATTAATACTTAGCCTATGCCGATGAAGCGGTTAGGCCTTATAGGTGCCGAGGTCTTCGTTAGCTCGGCGTTTTAGCCCTTAGCCTGGGGGAGTGACTTATGGTCCACTCCCCTAGAGTTCTCCCATGCCATAGAGGCGATTGGGTCTTATAGTGTCGAGGTCTTCGTTAGCTCAGCGTTTTGGCCCTTAGGTTGGGAGAGTGACTTATGGTCCGCTCTCCTGGAGTTCGCCCATGCCGAAGAGGCGACCGGGTTTTATAGTGCCAAAGTCTTTTGTTAGCTCGGCGTATTGGCCCTTAGGCTCTGGGAGCGACTACAGTCCACCCCTCTTCTGTAGTTCACCCATGCCGAAGAGGCAACTGGTTTTATAGTGCCAAGGTCTTTTGTTAGCTCGGCATATTGGCCCTTAGGCTTTGGGAGCGACTACAGTCCACTCAGCTCGGCTATTGCAGGTAATACTGTCTTAAGTTGACAATATTCCATGCCCGAGATACTTGTTTCCCTTCTAGGGTTTCGAGCCCATACGTTCCTTTCCCGAGCACCCACTTTACTCGATAGGGTCCTTCACAATTTGGGCCGAGCTTACCAACACCGGGCTCAGGCACCATAACGCTCTTGTGTCATCCAATGCATCATCAATCTCTACTCGCAGGGGAAACTCAAAAAAGCGGTTGAATCCTTAGAGCTTCTCTATTGTCGTGGCCTTCGCTTAGACCACCGCATGCTTGCCTTCCTCCTCCAACAATTTGCAAGCTCTGGGTCTCTCAGAGAAGGAAAAGGGTATCACCGAGATGAAAACGTTCCTGTCGAACCATTTAATCCTTATGTATTTTAAATGTGGTAACGATCTTGAAGTTCGTTAAGTTTTTGACAAAAATGCAGGTGAGAATTTTGTATTCTTGGAACAATATGCTCGCTGGATACGCCAAGCTCGGAATGCTCAAAGCAACAAGGAGATTGTTTGATGGAATGCTTGAAAGGGAAATTGTCTTAGAATACGATGATAATTGCTTTCGCTCAATTTAGCTTATCTTGGGTTCACCCATTTTAGCTAATCTGGTGTTTTGACTATATATGTGAAGATGAA